TTGATTTGGGTGAAAAATGGGTGAAAAATCATCATGGCTGGATGATCAGCAATCATCACCTATAATAGAAAAATTTAAGCTTGACGGCTGGGAAATCCTTTCGTGGTACCTGCCATAAGAAATTAAGGACCATTTTGGTCATTGTAGTAAAATATCTGAACAGGGTGCATGAGGCAGGCGTTTTGAAGAAGACCTGCAGGTTGTGGAGAAGGTGGCAAGGAGGGCTAAATGTTCTAAAATAGACAAAGGACATCCCTGTAACATACTTTGAACTACAGAGGAGAAATGCTGTTTCCTTCAAACACAACATTCACTGGTGCTCAGTGGTGGAGGAGGTGATGCAGTGTCACTTCTGGCAGAAAGCATGAGACAGATATCTGCAGAGGGGGAAGGTAATTTGGTCAGTGGGAGGAGGCTTCAGCCACAGAGGTATTTTAGAGCTAAATTTAACCAATGTCAAGGAATTGTCCAACATGTGCTGAGCTTTGCTGTATAGCTCTAGGTGATTTGGGATGTGCCAAAGCAAACCAAGGTATCTGGTTTCATTCAGCTGGAGCCACAGTGCTGGGTTTTTTGGTAGTTGGATAGGTTGAAGAAATAACTGCAACTGAGAGGCAAACCTGCCTCCTTCCCACTGCCTGTATGGTGCACCCAGCCCTGGCCGGCCACACTTTTGGATGCTCTCACACCCTGTGGGGTTGTTTGATTTCTCATTTCACTACTGGAGCCAAGCACACATCAAAACTGGGGGAATTAGAATGAAAGACAGTGTTAAAATTGTGGACTGATTGAATTGGCACCTTCTTTTCAAACGAATGCTTTGCTACCCAGAAGCAACGTGTATTTAGGTACCGATTAGTAACAGGCCAAGTGAAGTGAGTCGTCGGCACGAGAGCTGCAGGCTCTGCTTACACGGAAGGGAGCTGCCTGCACCCTTGGCTGAGGTGTTGGTGGCTCATATTTCTGCATAAACATCTCAAATAAAGAAAAAAAAAAGGCAGCACTATTGACAAAGCAAAGGCCAGCTCTATTTATATCTGCAGTAAGGCTGTGATAATGAAAAGACGCTTTAATGTGTCCCAGGGCCTAGATGAAACGCTGAAAATGTTGCTTTTAAGAAAAAAATGATAATAATATCCCCTTGAAATCCCAAGGAAATGTGTGTGGTGGACTTCTGGAGAGCAATATCAAAGAAATGAAATAAGAATTGCAGAGCATAGGGAGTTACTGCAGTTATGGGCTTTGAATTGGTTTAAATCTTTGCTTTTAAGCTTTTTTTTCTAAGTATCTCTTTAAAAGTAGCACTTTAATGAGAGAGAAAATGTTTTACTGACGCTGAACTGTAACAACAGTGCAGATCTGTCAGACTTTACCTTATTTTGAAGTGTAAATCCTTTCCCTATGGTTGCTTCTGCTGTCTGGCCCCCCTTATGGGTGTCAGACTCCTGGAGGGAACTGGGAGGGGTGGCGTGAATGTCTGCAGAGGAGGACAGATGGGTGAGAATCTTCTTTCAGGAAAGGATTTGCAGCTTTATAGTTAGAAAGGAAAGAAATTTTCCTTTTCTGAAAATCTTTTAGGGTAGTTGGTTTTTGTTGAGCCAGTTGGAAAATTGGGAAAATGTAAATATTTACTCAAAATATCATCTTTCATTTCATCTTGTTGCATCTTTGACCAGCTTTAGTCAACAAGTTGTTTCATGGCATTGAGCAGGTGTAAAATATGGTTCCTGGGGCAGAAAATGCCCTTGAGCACTGCTGAGTGGGTGTGCAGTGTCCCTTTCTACAAGAAGCCCCATCATAAGTCATTATTTTGGCCTCATTATGAATTTAGGTGAATGGCTGCAAAAAGCAGCACTAACCAAGTGGGACTCAGTGGCCAGAGCCCATCACCTCCCTGGTCCTCTCTCCCAGGACAGCCGTGGGTCCTCACCAAGACCCCCCCAGCTGGACTCTCTGCTCCAAAACCAGCACGTGCCTGATGCATTTTATTTTAACCTTTCCCAGTCAATACTGTTCATTTCTCACTTGCATTTTTGTCTGCTTCTACTAGATCAGATTGCTATTCTCATTTATGTTATTTGATAATAACAAGATACTGTGAAAATCCCACTTGGCAGAAGAAAAGGTGGGCAACGTTCTTATAGAAATGGGAACTGATTTTTAACCACATCATCCAGAAGAGTTAAATGAAGGCAGCAAACTTTAAAGCTTAGGCTATTTGTTGAAGTTGAAAAGGGATCAGGTTTTGAGTCATGGAATTTGGTTTTCTGAAGCATGAATGATGATATTCACCCTTTGCCCTTGGAGCAGGGAATGTGCTTTGTTTGGACCATGTGCAGCCCTGAGTGTGCTGTTGGCACTCATGGGATAACTGTGATTATAAACAATGCACAGATGTACTGGCTGTTGCTTTCAGCTAGTCTGGCCAGCTGGAAAGAGTATGAAAGAAGTTATTACAGACAGGTATTCAGGTGTGAGTTAGAAGACTAAAAGGAAAAGAAATTCTGGTTTATCTGTGTAATTAGAGGCACGCTCTGTAGAGGAAAACAGAAAACAAGCAAAAGTATATGTAGTGCATGCACAATTGGGAAGGCTCACCACTGTAGCTTGCTGAGAGGTAGGAGAAAGAGTAAAGCTTTCATAAGAGTAAAGGTTTCATACCTTTGTTTTGTTCCTTAGGTGCCCATTTGCAAATATAAATGGGCAGGTGCATTTGTATTATTTATGTTAGAAGAAGATGAAGGTTGTAAGGAAGAGAACCTTGAAACTGGGACACGCCAGGTTTGCCACTGCTCACTCAGTCTGTGTGTTGGCCAGCCAGGCTGTTTATGTTCCTTTTCTGCCTGAGGGAGCTGCACAAGCAGAGCAGGCAGACCGGCCGTGGGCAGTGCCTTGGGCTGTGGTGTGGGCTGCCCATGCTGCCTGCACTGCTGCCTGCTCAGGGGCACAGCGCTGCCAGAGGGGCTGTGCTGCCCACAGGGCACGAGGGTGGTGGCAGCTGCTGAGACAGTGACAACCACCCCGTCCTGGCACTTCTGGTAGCCCTGGGGTCCCCAGAGCCCCTCTGGCGGGTGCCTGGGCACTGTGCACTGTCCTGGCCAGCCCACATGCATTGAGGGGGTGGTTGGAAAAGCAGGAGATCCAGGCCAGTGTGCTCGCAGAGCGGCAGCAGCCTGGTTTGGCCATCGGCCCCTGGGTGCCTGTCTGAGAGCCCCAGTGGGACATCTCCCCTTGGGCAGGACCCACAGCCCTGCAGCCAGCCGGGGCTCAGAGCTCCCCTCTCCAAACCCGCCTGCTGAGGCTGGCACAGGCCAGGAGCTGAGCTGCCACACCCCCCTTCAGCTTCAGAGCCACCATCCTCATCTCAGGGTATTCAGTGTTTTCTGTTGCAGGGGAAAGTCAGGAAAATCCCGATTCCTTCTTTTACCTGTGTAAGGACCATTTCAGGCCCCACTAATATCCCTCTTCCTCCTGCTGCTGGACAAACAAAGCCCTCTTTAGCCAGAAAATGCTCTCTCTCTTGCTTGTTTTTCACACCCACCACCCAGCCAGCTCCTCTTCAAGCTGGGCTGTATTGTCTCTCTGATTTCCTGTTGTCGATTGGGCTGATTTTAATTGGTTTGCATTTTCAGTTGTTTTTCAGCTCATCAGGAAGGATAATTAAAATAAAATCCTGCCCTCCGTGCTCCTCTCCATCCGTTGTAGCAACACCAGCTGAGCATGTTAATCTGAGGAGCAGTACAGGCAGTGTTTGGAGTGTTTGGAGGCTGGTTGTTAAGCATTACATTATTCAAAATGCATTAAATTGTCCTGAATGAGGAGGAAACGTGTCTCGATCATCAAGCTGATGGACATTAGCAGTCTTCCACCACAAGTTTGCTAAATTTGAACTAGATTCACCTACTGCCTGCCTCATTCCCGTTCTGAGAGGAAAGCTGTGGACAGGGAACTGGCAAGGAGTAGGAGGCATAAATTCGAGATACCCACAGCTTAGACCAAAAGCCTTATATAAATCCTTTGGATTTCTAGACTTTAGAGAAATGCAGTTAGTATTACTGCCTTCTGTTGACCAAACAGGAAAGTTTAACTGGTAGTCGAGGATATGAACACTTAAGAGTCTGGAGGTGGCTTTGAGATCTGAGCGTGGTTTAAATGTTACTGGTGGGGAAGAGGGAGAAGGGGAAATAACACATTTCTCAACATTTCCAGGTTTACAAAACGTGTATGCTGAGCTGTTAGGATTGGCTCATTCTCAAGACAAGGAAAGCAGGAAAAAATATATAGAGATGACAGGCAAGCACTTAAGCAGAGATTTTTTTCAACTTATTACTAATACTTGTGTTTGCTGTCTTTTAGGTAAATGTGAGAACTCTTGAAAGTTTGACTCTTGACTCATAAAGGATTTTGTAATTAGCATTTATACTCCTTGTATGAGCACCACTATTAGAAGCCACTAGAATGTCATGGTCTCCTGTACCATAGACCTGCCATTGGCACTGTGAAAAGCAGACTCCTGCCTTGCTGAAAACTTGTAATAAGCAAATGTCAGTCCTCCCTAGCTGCAGTTAGTGTAAAAGAAACCATGCTGAGGATTTGTGTGAAGAGGAGAGGCTCCTTTTGCATCTGTTGGCCATATAGGTGAGCTGGGATTTCCCATCCTCCCTCTGGTTCAGTAGCAGAGCATCACACAGGCAGATAAACCCAGCAGAGAACAGGAGCCAAGTGCTGGGACAGGCACACGCCGTTGCTCATTCCGACTGCCAAGCTGCCAATTACATGGTGATTAGTAGAATAGACGTCTGAGATATGTGTCCCCCTCCCCAGACATTTTATGTTTTTGTCATTGTTCACGGGGCAATGTGTCTCTTTCCAAGCTACCTTGACTTTTTTTATTTGCTAGCCTTAATCAGTTACAGGGTTTCATTAAACCTCCAAGCCAGCTAAGCCCAAGGAGCCCTTGCCGACGTGACTCTTCATTTCCCTCCTTTTGTCTCTCCCAGAGGTCAAAAATAGCTGTCTATGAGAAAATGTGGTCGTACATGAAGTCGGCCGAGCCTTCGGTGTTCACCAAAACGACGGCAGACGGGGTGGCGAGGGTGCGGAAGTCCAAGGGGAAGTTTGCCTTCCTGCTGGAGTCGACGATGAACGAGTACATCGAGCAGCGCAAGCCCTGCGACACCATGAAAGTTGGAGGCAACCTGGATTCCAAGGGCTATGGTGTAGCAACCCCCAAAGGCTCAGCATTAAGGTGGGTGGAATAATATAACAATATCCATGTTGTTATAGTATTCCACCTACCCTGATGTATTGTGTTGTCATTTTCTTTCTTGTGGATTTTGAGGTAACTTTAAAGTTTAAAATCTTCAATATTCCATGGAGTTAAATAAGACGGTAAATTATGGTTTCATTTATTTAATGCATCCATTTTTTGTGTTCTCTTCGTGTTGTCCTTTCTGATTGTTTGTTGCTGTTTTAATTTTACAGTTCAATGGCTTTTTCAATTTAAATGGTAAAAGCCAAGTTAACCTGCCATATGTGACGAATGTTAACTGCATGATGTGGTGTTCTTGTTACTTTTTTTCTCAAAGACGATTTCCCCATCCCGCACACTTCAGTTTTGAGCAAATGTTATCCTCCATGCCACCTTCCAATATTTAACCCTGTATTTGCTGTACAGACATTTTGATAGCTCCACGTTCTGTGAAATTTTAGCCAATTTGTCCTCTTGTGCTCCTTTTTTTATACGTTACGATTTCCTAAGCATTTGTGCATTTTTTCTTACAAGTTATGTTTTATCGTTTCAAGAAATGCTGTTAACCTGGCAGTATTAAAACTGAATGAGCAAGGCCTCTTGGACAAATTGAAAAACAAATGGTGGTACGACAAAGGAGAGTGCGGCAGCGGGGGAGGTGACTCCAAGGTCAGCCTCAATGTCACCACAATCGGGTACCTTAGCAAAGAGTAATCGGCAAGGCTGTTATTTCGCTTCTCAAGAAAAAAAAAAAAACAACCCCAAAAAAGAAAGCGGATGAAAACCATTTCACTAATTGTGATGGGGGAGAAAAAAAGCCATTTTCTTGCTCAGTAGCTCTTTCAAAGAAACGGTCTTATTTAATATCATCAGCAGGCTTGGTCGAGCTTGGAAACCTTATTTAACTAACAGATAGAAAGTCCAGTACTGGTGGGATCTACTCCGAGCAAATAAGTGAGGTGACTGTACAAGAAACCGGTGATGGCATCTGGCCTCTGTAATAATCCCTGAGGACAAGGCTTCAGTCCTCATCCATGATTTAGCTGTGATGCAGAGCAGGTTTTGAGAGGCTTTTCTTGCCAGGACCAGCTGTGCCAGCACAGACATGGAGATGAAAGGGCTTCTTTGCTCTTTGGGGCAGCGGTCAAACAAACCAGTACCAGCACGTGAGGCTGTGCTGGCTTGAATTGGTGCTACGAGAGCGCCTGGGAGGAAGTCTGATCTGCCGAGAAGAGATGCTGGGGTGGGGCTGTAGCTCAGGGAAGGAAAGGGTGGCTGCTCACCTAATCACAGTGTGGGCCAAACAGTTAAGCAAGGATCATGGCAAAGACATAATGTTACACAGAGATGGTAGTCCCCTTTAACGGTAAAACTGTAGCAACAAGGGTAACGTGAGGAGCTTGTGGTAGGCAAAGCTGAAAGGAGGTGCGTTGCTTGCAACAGGGAGGTGTATTGCTACACCAAACTGGATATTGATCTTAAGGGAAGAGGGTTTGGAAGTTTTGCCAGGAGTATTCAAATGTCACCTTTTGTACGGCACTGACCAGTCTTCTGCACACACGTGTGCAGGAGCCCTGCCTCTGTGTTTGACGTGCCTTTGATACAGATGTAGGCTCAAATCTGACTCTAGTCACAGCAGTGGCAATGCTGTCACTGCCTTCTGCTGAGCTGAGGCTCCCCCCAGCCTTCCAGGCAGCGTGTTTAGTAGTGAGGCTCATGAAGTTGCTTCAATGAGCTCGTGTATTGCAAAAGTTAACTAATGTGCTTTCCTATTACCACCCTTACCCTGTAAAACTGGCAGTTTCTGCAGTCTTTAACCCAGTGAGGAGAAGCTGTAGCTAAAGTAGTCTGGGTACTGTTTGTCACCTCGGGTGCTGGAATTACCAAGAAAATTAATTTAAATGACATTGTTATACTGAAAAGTACTGAAATTCATTTTCATAGTGACACTCTCCTACAGCTAGTAAAACCAGTTCTTTAGGGAACAATAACTCCTGATCTTGCTTATAAAAATGCTTCAGCTTTGGTCCGAAATCAATAATACCAGTATTTTCAGTAGACTGCAGTTTTGGACAATTACTGCAAATTACTGCTGCATTCTATTAATAAGAGTTGCTTACAGTTGGCTACATAGGAAATTGCTCATCTGGTCATGTCTGATGTTAGCAAAAGCCACTGTGTAATACTGAAGGAAGGAAAAGCTCTTGAATTCAGGTTTGTTCAATAGCTGGAGGTATGCAGTGCTCAGCAGCAGCCTAGTGATGAGGATGAGCTTTTTTATGCTTTTTAGCTCTGCTGCTCATCCTTCACAGAACATTTTTATCTTATGTCATACTTGGCAGTATATTAAATGTTTAATATTCTTCTGGGATCCAGCACCTCATTGTCCAATGCTACCTCCATGAAAGAAAACTCTTTGTGCAAACCAGCTCCAATGAACTTCATTGCTCCAAGTTAATTGAATTAAACTCAGCCAATAAAACTTCCAACCCTAAGGAAACTAAAAAGGATTTTTTAAATGGTCATAATTAGGGCAGGGCCATCCTTCTATTTTTGGTTTGTTCTGAAAGACCTTTTACAAAGAGTGATATTGTCTATTAGCAAACCCTTGGCCTGCTCAGGGAGTGTTGCAGGAGCGAGTCAGGGATGCTGTGATAACATGAGGTGGTACCCAGAGAAGAGGGAAGGGGAGCAAACACATTTACAAGTGTTTTGCTGTTTTAGTCCAAAGTGCTGTCTTTCTGCAGTTTGTTGTAACCCGCTGTGGTGAAGGACTGCTGTTTGTCTGAGCTGCAGATACCAGCTCTCGGGGCATGGCTCAGCTGGCACAAGTTCCCAGGGAGGAGAACGTGGGTAGGAGAAGACCTCCCACTGAAGACTAAGCTGAGGGAGGCGGAGGAGGGATTAGTTGCTGTTTCCAGGGATGTGGTAAATCAAAGGGCTTTTTCGTTATGAAGTGGTTTTTCTGTTGAGGTAGCATCCCGTAGGCTCTGAGTGCTGCAGGCTGCGATGCAGCGCCCTTGCAGCAAGCAGGAGGTGCCTTCCCTGCAGTGCACTCCCCCAGCACCGAGTTCAGGCCATGTCCCCACCCAGCGGGAGCCCCGCTGCCCTCTCGGGAAAGCTGAGCCCCAGTGCTGCCTTCTGGGCACTGCAGCTCCAACAGTCTCGCTGGCCTCTCTCTCCTCTCTGTCCTCCCACCAGAAGTTGCCCTCATCATCTCATCCCGTCTCTCCGGTTAATTGTTTATATGAGCACGGCTTCATTTATAGAGCTTTTGGAGGAGGTGCTTCAAAACTGTTCTTTTTTTTCCCCTTAAAGGAGGTGGTAGCTGGTGGGAATCAGAGCAGACAGGGTGGTGAAGGTGCCTGAGGCTGAGATACAGAGCTTGCACCGCATCACACGGGGTGGTGTGGGGACCATTGCTCACTCGGGGCAGCTCTCTCTACCGGCTGAGCTGACAGGCCCCCTCTCAGCTTCTCCAGTAGAGACCCAGGCTTGGGAAATCGCCGCCCCAAGTGTGCAATCATCCGCCTGCTACCTACTGCCGATGGGTTGTGTGCAGCTGAAGGAGTTGTTGTAAACTGATAGTACCGGGTTCTCCAGTTGAATTCCTCTGTGCACTCTGATATTCTAGCTCATGCTGAAAGCCAGAGGTAAGTATGCAGCCTGCTTGCCTGTGCCAGTGCCCATCATTGTACCACAAAGGACCCAGTCACCCAGAAAATGCCCTCCTGTGCTCGTCCTCCCTGCGGCCTCGCATGCGGTGTGCCTGTGCTTGGAGAGGAATGATTCTGAGTTGTGAGTTCATCTCTTGTTACCATATCTTCATTGACATTGGAAATTAATCAGTGACTTCCAGTTTCACAAGGATTTTGAAGCGGGAAAGAAGAAAAGGTATTCCATTGACTTTCTGCAATATTTTTAATCTGTTGGGTTACACGGAGTATAAGGTTAGTCCTGTGAGCTTCCTGTGCTCCTGGGGTTCACTCGTAATTTAAGACTAAAGAGATTGTACCATTTTAACAAGATTGTTTTAAAGGCCTTGTGTCTTGTTTTCAGTGCTACCAGTCTGTCCCAGCGCTGGTGTGGAGCAGAGGGTGCCAGTCTGCCCTGAAGTGCCTTAGCTGCCGGTACTGCCCTGGCGAAGGGAGTTACCTAGTTTTTATAGTGGTCCTTATTTAAGAAGTCTGAAGGGGAATGTGCTCTGTCTATATGTAATTTTTCTGGGATGCATGTCAATACGTGTGGGCTGACTTGGCTGGTGCAGACGTTCTGGTACGTGCATCAAAATTTGTTCACTTTGCCCTCCTAAATGAGCATAAATTCATGGCAAAATTATCCTCTCTTCAAATGCTCTTATACATGTGAGATGAGTTCTCAATCATGAGAGAATACAAAATAACAGTTATAAAAAAAAATTCCAGGAAATATGTTATAGTGTATTACAAGTTTGGAAACTAATTATTTTGTTTATTATACAATCCTATCATCTTGGGGCTGAGTGACGGCTGAATAGGAGTTTAACAAGAACTAGACAAAAGGGGATGCAGACAGCAGTAGCAGGCTGAGTGACAAGTGAAATTAATTATTCAGCTGCATAGGAACAATTTTCTGCTAAGATAAATTTCTATAGTTCTGCTGTTGATAGGTTTCTTGTATTCTTATACCTTCATGGTAACATTTAATGACAACCAACATGGAAGGAGAATGTTTGAATGCAGCTTCTCGCCAGCTTCACACGCCAAGATTCCTTGCTAATTATTTGACTCAATTTTTCTTTAATATATTCTTTTTTAGGCTGATATCTCTTTTGGAGGATATCTGTGAAATGACATGCAATGTAATGCTACTTCATTTTCCAATTGTTTCTTTTTAATCGTGGGATTGCTTTTCAAATGTGCTAGTTGTGTTGTGCCCTCAGAGCCACGCTCCATGCAGCATCACATTCCCAAGCCCTTCCGAGCTGTGAGTGCAGCCATTAGCAGATGGAATCTGTTCCCCCATTTCTCTGTGCCGGTTTGCTTTGATACATTTTCAGCACAGCCGTTGGCATTTGCAGCATAATTTTTTTAAGTGGCATATTTTTAGAAGAAATCTGTTATGCATTACTTCAGATGATACCTGACGCCTGAAGAGCACCATTGCCAAGCGCGTCGTGCGTAAAAGGGGACATTTGGGGAAGTGGCTATCTCTGAGAGATGCAGCACGATTTATTTGAGCAATTTGTTTGGAATTATGTTCATCAGCATGAATTTCCTTGTCACCCATTCCATAGGCCTGGGTTATGAGCTGGAAAAAGATAAAATGGCCAATCAGAGCCAGTGACAGTAACACAGAGCTAATTCATGCTCAGAGCTGGGAAAGTTATATGAAATTATTGTATTGTGCAAATTAGTGACAAAGCAAAATAATGCTTTAAAAGGAAGACATCAGAATATTGGTTTAATTGACAGCTATTACTTTATAGCAGATTAGGAAATAATACTGTGCATGTTTTATGCCAAGAATGAAGTCTTAATGCTCTAGAAGTCATTGGAGTATCTCACTTAGGGCACTGCCAGGAAGGGCAGAGAGCCTGCTCTGGTTTACAGAAATGGCAGTGCTGTTGTGCAGATTGTTGAGGGCATTTTCCTGGGAATGTAACTGGGATACTCAGACCAAGAATTTGG